AATCGCCTGTGTCAATAACAGCCATAACTGACTTGGTGTTGACAGGCGCCGACAACCTCTGCAGCAGTATCTGCCTTACCCTCAGAGCGCCCTGAAACGTGAGTAACTCTAGTCACCAATGGTCCTGTCTCTGCCCCTTGTTTTGGGTCACCAGAGACTTGCACTTCCACCCATGCAACCCTTGAGTGATCAATGTTGTCAAAGAACTTGTAGTGCAATGTTGAAGCATTGGAGTGTGGTGCGATGGCAGGTGCCACATTAGATGTGCTTCAGCAGCAAATGCCGCTTATCACAAAATGATTCTGGAGCAAGCAGCAGAGGGTGTGAAGTAATGTTGTCAACTGTTGTAGCCATCACTGCTGTCAATAATGGCCTTTCACTATCAGGCGATGTCCAGTGCTTGTTGTATCCTTGAATTTTGCCACAAGGGGTGCATTGCTGACTGACATTTTTCCTTCTTGAAACTGAAATCATCACAGGAGTGCAAATACACATGCGTACAATGTGCATGGCACATACAGACAATATGTGCAGAGTGCATTTGCAACTACCAGATGGCTGCATAGTGGCTGTTGGAATGCGTGTGGCTCACACTGCTAACATACCATGTCTGTGGTCTTTGTGACTTTGGCTGATGCAGTATGTGAGCACAAATTTGTCAACAGCTGACACTTTTGCCTGGTTTAAAGGCGTGTGAAGATGACCCGCCTTCGCAAACGCGTCTCAGAACGGCTTAAGGGAGCACAGAACACTTATGCGATGTTGTCGACCTTCAATGAGATCGACATGTCCAACATTATGGGGATGAGGTCAGAGTACAAGGTGAGAGACCACTGGTGTGTGAAACAGTCATGGTCTCGAAATGGGTGCAACTGGTTGCAAGAAAGGGAAGCAGCTGTGGCAGTGCTGTTAAAGGCAGTGCTCATTGACATGGTAGCAGAAGCTGCAGAGCTGTTTTCCGTGTCGCAAAAATACAGCAGCAGAACTGTGTTCGATCCCATGGCTGTGACAAAGCCCCAAGCATGCAGTGCTTGCACACAGGTGCAAACATGTCAGGGTGTCAGAACCATGCACATCAGTACATTTCCAGACATGGGGATGGGCATTCTAGAAGCCTGGGCAGCATTTGGCAAAGTGCACACAGCAACCCGCATCAGCACAAAAGAAGTGCAGAAACACTGTTGTTGACAGATGCAGGGGTACCTACAAACCTCCAGGACCCCAGCGCAGCACAAGCACGACTACTGGGTGACTGGATTTCTTAGAATGTGGCAGTTGGCAGACGATGTGACACATCCTAGTGCAGCCACATGCATGAGGCGCTGCAGAACTGGAATGCTGTGGGTGCAGCAGGTAATGCATAGCAGACCATTGCAGTACTGTTGATGTACAATAGACAGCAAATGGCAATACAATCCTCGTGCATTATGGCGCAGCATATTGCACAGTATGGTGCTGCCACATGGATGCAGCAGATGTGTGACAAATCGACGCCTTGTATGTACAGGATGTCTTCCTTCAGAAGCATGGCGTCAAGCTGGGCTTCATGTCAGTTTTCGTCAAGGCCTCAGTCGTGGCCCTCCAGGACATGCCTGCTGTCAATGCGGTCATCGATGATGACGAGATCGTCTACAAAGATTATGTGGACATCAGCCTAGCAGTCGCGACACCCAAGGGCCTTGTGGTGCCCGTCCTGAGGGGTGCTGAGAACTTGTCGTTTGCTGGCGTTGAGAAGGTGACTGCCAGCCCTGTCAGTCCTTGTATCAAAGAGCCAATTGCTGCTGCGAATTTCTGCATGGACATCATGAAGTGAATGTGTTGATACGTGAAATAGCATGCTGAGCTTTCAACTTTCTTAAGAGCACTTTGGGCGTCCTTCACACAAATGTTGTCCCTGGACAGGTTCTTGTTTCTTTCTCCACAGCATGAGTGCTTGTCAAATGGTGACTGGGCATATTGCCGGCATGGGGTGTGTGGCTGTGGCATCTGTATATGTTGTGATGAGGGGTGGGTTGGTTGGGGAAGGATGGCACAAGATGGGCGTTTTGCCAACTTGTAGACGTGGCTATGTGGTGGATTGTCAGCTGCCCTATCTACCATTGTGTGGATGTTGTCAATCCAAGGCGCATATCTGTGGACAAGCATTGAATGGCGGTCTGAGTTCAGCAAGAAAATTATCTGGCTGTGCGGGGCCCTGAACCTCACCAACAGCACAGAAGCCATCTTCCTGCTGCTGTGAATGACTTGCAGTCACCACCCTTGCCTCCTTGGCCCCTTCGACAGTATCTTACGTATGTATATAAGAATGTAATATAGGAATATAAGAATATATAATGTTGTATTATATATATAGTAATATACGAATCTTGCATATAAAGCGGCGCCACACAACGGGCGCGTTTCATATCACTGAGCTTCTGGTTCTCCAGCTCTTAAGAGTAGTGAACTATTGGTGGCCGATCGGTGCTTTGGCTTGTGTTCCTGATCGTGCTTGGCTTTGAACAATGCAGGCCATCGTCGACCTCGGTTCCAAGGCTCGAGAGGGGACTCTCTCCATCGACGAGATGGCTGGTGGCACGTTCACGATATCCAATGGCGGCGTGTATGGTAGTCTCCTCAGCACGCCCATCATCAACCCACCCCAGTCTGCCATCCTGGGCATGCATTCCATCCAGAAGCGACCCATGGTGGTCGGCAACGAAATCGTGGTCAGGCCCATGATGTACGTGGCCCTCACATATGACCACCGACTGATCGACGGCCGTGAGGTGAGCTCTCAAATTCTGAAGCTGAAATTGTGAAAATGCAGGAGAAAAGACAAAGTTGCTTATGTGTACATAGATGATGACCTGTCCTAGTCAGCTCCGAGTACGGCGCATTGCCATTCATCTCCATCGTGGGTGGCGTGCGGTCAGCGTTTGTTGGACCTATGTTGGAAGGGGTGTTTGACGCACGGTGTTGCTGGATTTGCAGGCCGTCACTTTCTTGCGCCGCATCAAGGACCTAGTCGAAGATCCACGGCGGTTCCTGATCGACGTCTGAGTCTGTTCAGGGGTTTTCTGATTCGCTGCTAGGGAAGGGGGGCGAAGATGCCGATCAAGGGAGGGGGGGCCCGAATTGACTCACAGCCTTTGGCACTATCTGGTAGTCCTGCCAATACGGGGCAGACTGTAATAAGGAATCACAAGGTGCACACAGCAAGGGGCTGTGATGCCGTGGCTTATGCCGTGCGTTGATCGAACGAGCGGGATGGGGGCCACATGCCTGCCACGGCTGGGGACGAACACAGGAAGAATGAATGTGGACATACAGTAGCCAAGGACATTCTTTGCCATGCTGCAAGTTAATAGACTGCTCTGGGTGCCGGCCTCGCATGCCATCTTCGCCGAGATTTCCTGTGTTCATGTCGGTTTGGGAACCATTGGCAGCTTCGAGGCCTGCTCTGCTCCCCTGGGATTGAATAACTCCAGCAGGGTGGGAAGCGAGGGGCCCTGGGGGTCGGCAACTGGGCGCTGGGCCTAAGGGCACGCTCTCCGCACCACACGAGCGGTGCTGCATGGTGCGTGGTAGGCAAACGAACGAGTCTTTTGTGGCGCCGGGCGCAACATTTCCCACTGCCCTGCTGTTTGATGTCCTCGGATTGGCTTAATTTAATTCTTACACTTCGCTGCCTGCGTCGCTGCGATCCTCGCTGCCCCACGGGGTGCCCGTCGTTGCCGCAATCGGACTGGCGGACATGGCGCTGCCTTGTTTGCTGGCTCTGCGTGTCGACGGGGCATGAAGGCTGCAAAACACAGGGGTTGCGCTCAAGCGCCGTTCGGATAGAATGGGCATACCCAAGAGTTCGCACACCGAAAGCGCCATCGATGAAGCCCGCAAGTTGCAAAGGTTCTATGTGCCGTGCTTGTGGCAAATGCGATTCCTACAATCAGTCATGTCAGAACGCTACAGACGGACGGCCCATCATGCGACTTCAAAATTACACATCCTTGTCCATCCGCAGTTGAACGCGCGACCAACACGTGCATGCATTGCTGGGTCAATTTCTTGGCGCCCGTGTGCATCCACGCGTGGAATAACAGGCGGATTTCGAGCGTCTCCTGTTTCGGGCGTTTTAGGTGTCGTGCATCTATTCGTTTTGCATACCTTGGTCCATTTGGCGATGTCCGCAACTTCCACAAACTCAAAACCAATTCAAGCGGCACGAGTGGCAAGATGCAAGACTCGTTCTGAGGTGTTCCAGTGTAATGTCGCCCCCCAACTTGCTGCACAGTCGTTAACGAGGACGTTTCCTTTTGATCTTGGCAGTGCGGAGCAACTTCGGTCTCGCATCTCGGTCTTCAGTCTTCTATGACAACGCAGTTCAGCTCCCGCTGCACCAAAAAATGAACACGCACGCCACGCACACAGGTTTCAAATGAGACAGGCGGGGCCCTCGAGCGCTCCATTCCAGCACCAAAATGGGCAACAGGTCAGTGCGGCCCTGCAGCGTGGACTCAGCATGGAGGAAGCCCCGCCCGCATGGAAATCCCAACACCACCATTCAAGCCCTCCACGCCCCATTCAGCTGCTCAGATGCGCGACACCTGCGAACCCCTTGACCGCTCTGGAAGTGGTTCCGCTCCCATAAAAAATATGCTGTTGCGAGAACTGGATGAAGCTCTGGGGCTTCGTTCCAGCACTGCGGTACCATCCGAGACGGATACGCAGCACCAGTGCACGGTACACGGCAGCACCATGTTTAATACATTAGACATGGTGTGCAGGCTCCATTAATATTGGCGGACAAAGGCAGCCTCCCCCTTTCCGATCAAGAGCAGAAACTCAGGACAAAACAAGGCACGCCCAACCAAACGGGGATTATCCCCCTTTTTGTTTTTCTTTTTCTTTGAGCGGTTGATCGACTCGGCGCAGCATTAATGGTAATGCCGATGCGCAGGGCCAACGGCTCCACACCAAAAAAAACGGACGGGACGTTTCTGGCCTCCAAAAAAAAGCGCGCCAAGCCCCAGCCTGGGCGGGCCGGATCGCGCCGATTGGGCGCATCACGAACCCACGGCCGCGCCTGGCCCAACCAACCACCCGAGGGCCCCGCAGGCCAGGCGGCTGGCGATGGGGGCGTCGCCTGTGGGCGCGGCCCGCTGCAGCCGGCGGTGCCGACCGGATGCCAGGGCGGGAGGCGAGGAGGATGCGGAGGACAAAGATTTCACCTGCCCCATATGTGAGTCCAGTTCCCCACCCACCCACTAATCGTTGGCTTTGGCAAGGGCTGGAGACGGGGGCCGGTCTCTGGGATTGGGTCCAGGAGGCTGAGGCCGTTTTGGCTGCGGCGCCGCAGGCCTTGTGGACATCGAGGAGGCGCGCGCGAAGGCGGTGACGGTGCCCTGCCGGCACCGGTTCTGCCTGGGCTGCCTGCTGCAGTGGGCGGACATCAAGCGGAACTGCCCTGTGTGCAAGGCGAGTGCGCGGCTCCGGCGCGGGGGGGGGCGCTTTGACATGGACGTCAACGGACGTTGGGGCGCATCGCGGCACGCGGGGTTGGGAGTTTGACGCCGCCCGCCCGCCTCCCTTTGAGAGGCCCAACGCCCTGCGCGATTCGCGCGGAGGGCACCCCGGCCGATTGGTCGGACGGCTTCCGGGCGGCCGCTGGCGTCGACAGGCGGTTGCGGTGCCGATTTGGCGAATGCTGCGGTGCGCTGGGCAGCCGGGATTGGCTGGGGCTTGGGACGTGCTCCGCCGTCGTGGCTCGGACGCCCTGGGCGCAACTCACCGCCTCGCGCGTCCCGTCAGCGCCATTGCACAGAATCGAGGGGAGAGGGGGCGTAAGCCGGCTCTGCACATCGGCTTCGTTTTAGAGAGGCCGCAAATCCGCACGCCTGAGAGACGGAATGCAGCCGGGCACCCCAATGAGCTCGACCCTTCACGTTCCCTGCTCTAGTAGTCATTGCTGCGCGCTGAATCGGAATCATTCGTGGTCATGTGGGTAGCTTGGCTTCGGCGGGAGCCGAGGGTGTGGACCGCTTGTGGGGAAGGGCGGGTACCAAATGGTTGGCCTGTTGCAACTCACGAGCATATTCAGTGGTTGCCGAGGTGCTTTGATTCCGTTTTCTCAAAAGTGACCAACCGCAGCCCTTTTCAGCAGCAAGGCCAAAGTCCTGTCTTTATGTTAGCCTTCGGAGGATAGAGCGGGAGCCTTGCATCCTGCTGGCGGCAGCGTTGATATTGCTTGCTGCAGAGACTGTTGAGAGCACAGTCTCCATGCACATCTCCTTATACACTAATAAAGTCCAAATTGCCATGGCTGAAGTGCTAAAGTGTGTCTGTTTGGAGTGCAGGGCACACTGGAGGGCTACCGCTTCTTCATCCAGGGTGACACATGCTCCCAACAGCACACATTCCCACATGAGGATGAGGACTGTAGAATAACAGCAGTGCAGCCGCTGGGCCAGTCGCAAACCCAGGTCTCTGGTACTAGCCAGGTGTCCAGGCTGAGGGCAGTGCAGTCGAGGCCATACTGCTCAAGGCTGAGGCAGAGGTAATTGGCCCTTTCCCACTGGCCTCATCAATCGGGTGTATGAACAAGTGGACAGACTTATGAACCTTGCGAATGCATCAGTGCATGAACGCTGTGCAGGTTTCCAGGGACACTATGCCATGCACTTTTACCTTCACATTGCGCTTGGTACCGCAGGGTGACGTAGTGCTGTTGACTACTTTCAACTTTTAGGCTGCATAATCCGCTGGCCCCAGGGCAGGTTTGGATATGGTGTAGCTGGGAAGAAAAGCAAAAACCGCTGTAGAAGAAGTAAAGAGGTGCAGCATGGCAGGTTTTGGGGTCTGCTCTGGGATTCTTGTCTTTGTAATTGCAGCTGACTCGTTGTGTTCCCAATGCACAGTGTGCCTGGGAGGAGCAGCCTTGCTTTCCGTGCTCGTTGTGGCTACAGGGATGAGGACACATCGCTGAGGAGACGCAGAGCTGTTTACTCAAAGGTGCGCCACATCCCACGATGAACAAAGCACGAACTTCCTTAATTGGATGTAAAGGCGCATGCAGTGCCCAGTGAGGCAACAAACAATAATCTCCATTTAACAATCCAAAGTGAGGAGGGGGGGGGTGAGGAAACATACACATATCAAAAATTTTTGTTCAAGCATTAAAGGAAGAAACTTTGTGTGAGCATGGCTGAAGCTGGTAGAGCACTGGTTGAGTTCCAGAACCGTTGACCTATTTACAGGAGTGCCCCGCCACTGGGTCATGTCTGCAACAACTCTGTAATCATGCGAGAAGGCTGTCTTCTCTTGCACAATTCATTCTCCACACAGCAAGCAATCCCTTACTGGCTGCCATCAAGCTTCCTCTGCATCAGAGTTGAGGCCAGTCAAGCTGTGCGGCACCTGTGCTGCAGCCACGGCACATCCTGGGGTCTGGGACATAGGAGACGACTGTTGTGGTCGTCCTGTGTTCATCGTGTAAAAGCTTGCTCTATTCATGCCTCCCACCACACTGAAAGATGCTGCCCTGCACTTTGTGCTCATCGTGTGGACAAGGCGCTCTTCTGGCTGTGCACATCTTGACAGGGCGCTGGACTCAGTACCTGAAGGTTCCTGTTGCGCCCCTCGTGTACCCATTTCATGAGGTTTGTGAATCGCTTATTGTGCAGTTCCATGTGACTTATTCAAAGACTCACTAGTGCAGTGGAGTCCTTTGATTTCATCTGGCCTTAGGTATGCCTTTCACAGTCGTGCTCAGCAGTTTGCCGGGTATGCAGGGCCTGTGCGCAGTGTCATCGGGCGTCAACCGGTCACTGAGGTACAGCCTGCAGACTCGCCGCGAAGAAGAGCGGCTGGAGGCCTGGATAAAGCGTGAGTTTCAGGCCATCCTTGGTGCTCAGGTACGCTGCATTATTATTGCTTTCTCAACATCCATCAAGGTGTAAAGGCTTGTGAGTCATTCCCTTGCTTTGAAGCTTGTCCTCAATGGTTTACATTTACCAATGCTTGCCCAAAAGTGTGAAAATGTGATAGTTCCTGACAATGTTTGGCAAAAGCACAGAGCTTTTGCTTATCAAGCTGTGTGCACTTGAGTTCACAAAGTCAAATTGTGTCCCTGCCGGGTGCATGCCCCCGCTTTTCCCTGGCTGTGCAGGATGCCACAGAAGTTGGTGAGCACAACACCGATTAGTTTCTGTGCCCGCAGGACCCCAGCATGCTGACGGCTTTTGTTATGGCCCTTGTCCGTTCCTACGGTTTCTCTCGGCATCAGGCGTCCAGTTTTGCAAGGCCTTCGGGGGCCGCTGGGGTTGCCACACGCATGCAGCAGCAGCAGCAGCAGCAGGAGGGGTTGTGCCAGATGAGGGGAAGCCGCCAGCCCCTGGTTGTGTCGGATCCAGTGTCTGCGCTGGAGCCTATCCTGCAGAGCAGGGCGGCCCGTTTCTGGCACGAGCTCAGGTGGGATGCTCGTGTTGTCTGTTGCCACAACATTGGCAATAAACATCAATTCATCATCGAGATATTGTAGATTGCATTGTGGCACATGTGTGATTATGTGCCTTTGCTATCTGTGAATGAGCGAATGTCTGTGAATGCGCTGCTCACCTACTGCTGCATCATGAATAACCGGTGGAATGCTGAATGGTGCAGTTGTGCTTCCCAGGTGCTTTGCATGGTCCGGGCTGAAGATGGGCACCTACGACAGTGTGGTGCAGTACTCTGGCGAAAGGAGCAACAGCGACGACTCGGGCCCGACGACGGAGCGACACAAGAGGCCCCGTGCCTGGGAGGCAAACTCTGAGTCCGCCCAGTCGAGGCGCCAGGTGGCCTGCGGCACCCGTTCGGGCAGCAAGCTGGGGCCGGGGGAGCCCCAGAGGCGCAGCCCAACCTTTGGCCACTCGTGCGAGAACGTGAAGGAGAGGGTAGGTGGAAAGGAGGGCAGCGGAGCAGAGGTTTGGTGCAGGGAGGGGAAGCGGCAGAGGCGTGAGGCGTACGCGGCGGTGCTTGCCGCCTCCGGGCAGTGCTCAAAGGTGCTGGCCAAGAGGCATGCTGCTGGGAGGGGTGAGAAAGGGGCAGAGGGAATTGCAATCAGGAAGGCTGCGCACGTCGCGTTGATGGGGTGGAGGCGCGGAGGAAGTGCTGGGAAGGGGGCAGGCGCAGATGATGGCTGCTTGATGGCCAAGGGGAGGAAACTGTGCGGGAATGGAGATGGACGGCAGTGGGGCATGGAGGAGCATGGGAAGGGGGTCAGGTGGCTCGAGGGCAAGACCGGGCGGGTGAAGTGCGAGGAGGGGACCGCTGGCTGCGGGGACATGGGTCTTGGGTGGGCTGTGGAGGCTGGCAGTAGGCGTGACAGTGAGGATTCAGAGAATGGGAGGCCCTGCGCGGATGCTGGCAGCCAGGAGGGCTCTTGCAGCCACTGGTGAGGTGTTGCCTGCTGTTTGAAAGATGTGCGGGCTGTTCCTGGGCTTGAGGCGAGGCCTGACTTGGGTCCATGGAGCTAGGGACTAGGGAATAGCGTGGGATGGGACTGCACACAGAGAGAGAGAGAGCAGGGATGATCTTTGAGTGTGTGCCAACCCCAAGGGGATGTGGCAGCCAAGGGCAAGACATTCGCCGCGTCGGCGGCAACAGCAAGAGAATTAGAGTGGCGGCAGGCGACAGTTGAGTATGTGCCCAGCAGCCTTGAGGACTGGGTCAGGAGCCGCATCTTGGGATTCGCAAAGCATAGTTTGGGGTGGGGCCTGGGGTGGGCGCTCTGCACGTGCGGATACAGACCTGTGCACAGTTTTGTGGCATGCACTCTCAGGTTCCAGTTCATTTAGTCGCCAGCTTGGGGCGTCGTTGACCAAGAGGTGCGGATATTATGCTTGGCGCTTGTGCCATCGTCGATCTCGTTTCTGTCTGGTGGACAGCCGCATCAGATGGTATTCGGGGGTCTGTTACAGGGCGGTTTGCCACTCACAGCTTGCCACAGCTCAGTTCAGCTATTAGAAAGGGGCACTGGGCACTGGGCAACACCTGGACATGAAGCCCACCTGCCCTTGGGCTGTGGGCGTCGTGTGCTGGCAGACATGCATCCATTGTGCGCTCAGTGCAAATAATGGTGTTCGATGCAAATATATTTTTTGCATGCTTAGAAAGAAGTCATAAATACGGAAAGGGCCAGTGGCTGTTGTCTATGGGCACATCGTGCACATGATAGTCCATCGGACATCCGCCCGCATATGTCTCGTGTTGCCAACATGTAGTACCATATGGTTGCACAAGCTCAGGAGGAAATGATGCCATCTTGACGATTTCGGCATCGCGACCCTGGGACTTGGCAAGCGGATGCCTGTGCTCGTTACCTGAAGTCGCCTGCAGCCAGTCTTAATATAACAAGCAGTAAGCGCCTCATAACCCACTTGCTTGATGTACCTCTCCAAAACCACTCAAGTACTATCACGTGGCTAATAAGCCATGTGCGAAAATTCATTGCTAGGATGATACCCCCCTTATGCCTTTGCCGGATCTCATATGCTTCCAACAAAGTTTTAGACTTCTGTACTCACCACCACCACAGTATTAAAAATGCCCCAGCGGTGTATTGCTGAGGAGCGGGATTCGTATTGTGTGGCTTTGGGAAGTCTCCTTTAATCTGACTCAGGTCGCAAGTTGCCCATCGTCACTGTCACTACATCAGTATGACAAACACTGAGGGCAGAACGCGCATGACCAGAATTTTTCTGTTTGGTACAATGATGAGTCCAAGATACGGTGCGTAATTTAATGTTGATCAATGCGGAATGTGTTAAAGGCCAATTGAGTTCAATAAGTTGGCTTTCTGAGTAGACAATCTGGGTTTCTCTTCTTTTCAAGACATTCTGCGGCACGCTTTGTTCCTGCATCTCCTGATAGTGGCTCGTGAATGGCAAAAACACCTCCGGAATGAACGGCAAACTGTTAGTGCGTCCCTCCATCGCTCCAAGGTGCCTGCAACAGCTTGATCCATTCCAGTACTTTCAAGTGTCAAAGGACGCGAAGGACGGTTGCAGCTCACTGCACCTGTTGCCCCTGAGGACCAAGGGAAGCTCCGTATGCAGTACTGCAGACACTCTGCATTTTTTTCTCAACAGCAAAGATAGCTGTCAAAAGCGTTGACTTGTGATCTGTCACTTGTGGTGTTGTGGGACACCAAATACGCAGGAAATTTGCTTGTCGTGTGCATTGGTCATCACCGCACAGTGCTGTTCCATCAATTGCGTGTTTCCTTTATAATTTTTTCCAGAACCGAAGGTCAGGTTCACCGGCCCTTGGTGAACTTCTCTATGCTGTCCAGCGTTTCAATTGGCCACCCGGTCATTAAATCAATGCCCAGCCGAAGCCAGCGAAAATCAATTCACCTGAAATTCCAACCTGCGTGCCTGTACTTTAGGCAATGGAGTGGAGTGGGGCTTAATTGGTCTTACTCCATCGCCCTACCTAGCTAGCTAGGACCCTACAGGGTCGCCAGTCGGCGTTCTCTGTGCCATAACGATTGCGAACCCCTTCCTCACGCAAAACTCCCTCGCAACAGGCTTGTCTTCTGCTCTAGCCCGCCTGCTCCGCCGCGCTGCAAACACCCGGCACCGCCACCGAAGCCGAATCGGCCCACCTTTGCATCCGCGCCGTGAGTGCTGACCGCTCTTTTTGTGTTCCCAACGACGGCTCCGTTCCGACGGCATCTTTGCCCGCCCAAAGGCTCCCAGGCGGGAGAAACCCTTACTTGCTCTCTAGAAGCCTATCGACTCCTCTGAGAGCATCCAGAAGCCTCTAGAAGCCTCATTCCTGCGCAGACTGCAGATCACCGCCTTTCGCGACTGCAAGACTCTCTTTGGACAGCGGGAAACGCTTTCGGCCCCAAAAGCATTTCAGGCCCTTTTTTCTGTTTTCGTGCCTGAAAATCGCGTCCGGATGCCCGCAGGGGGCCGGGAGGGGATGGCCCAGGAGTCCCCCGCGGCGGCGCCCCGCCGGGAGACCAACTGCCCGGAGGTCGTGCTGAAGGCGATCTACGGGGATCAAGGGGACAAGAAGGCGGCCTACGAGGCGTCCCTGCGGCACTGGTGGAAGGAGTACGCGGCCAGGAAGAACGACGAGGAGGAGGAGCACGTGGCGGACTCGCTGATGTACGACGAGAGGTGCCACCTGCCGCGGACGGTGACGAGGCCGGAGTTCGACAACGAAGGCGAGGGGCGGTGACGACATGCAGCTGGACGACGGGGTTGATGGATTGATTGTTGGCTGTGGGAGCGGCGTTGTTTGTCGTCTATGAGCTACAGTGACTGCTTTTCCGCTCTGCAATTATTGCTGTTTGTGGGCTGCAGTGACGGCTATTTGTTCGTTGCTGTGATTGGGGTGAATGTTGCTTGTGGGATGTGGCGGCCGTTTGTTCGGCATTCCGTCAGCCGCGTTTGGAAAGGACTTGCTGCGGCTGGGGACGCGTTGCGTAGTTGTTTCTTGCTTCTGCACGGTTGTATCCAGTGCGCTTCCTTTGATTACATTTGGAAGGCCGGGTCATGTGTGTTTGCAAGTTCTGAGAGGCATGTTTGACACATTCCCTGGAATGTTGGGCGAGTGCTATGTTTTGAGCCAGGCGGCACTGCCTTCATTTCTGACAAACATGTGCTCTGCTGTTGTGGATGTACCATGTCCAACAACATAAGCTGGTGTCTGGAACACCGCAGGCAAATGCACCTTCCTGCACAACTCACTCAGGCTCATAGTCCCTGGAATCTGACCCTTCGATTTGGATTACCAGCCAGTGCTCACCTGGGCGAAATACACAGCCTGTCATCCCTGTGTGGTGTCGTCTATGCAAACATAAAGCTGCCCGTTGGTATTTGATGTGGTGTTTAAGCCTCTGCACATCGTCCCAAAGTGTCAGGGCACATAAGGGATTTGGTTTCCTCAGTCCAGGAGATTGGAATATCAATCCGCAAGCATATGGAGCATACTGCTGCCCAGTGTGGTTGTGTTGTACACATCATGGGTGTACACACCACACCAGCTGTTTGCAAATACTGCTAACATGCCTGTTCCAGCATTTTCGAAGGCAACTGGTTGTTGAAATCTGCTTTGATGACATTTGACTATGCATTACAAGGCATGGCCTCTGCACTCCGTCCAGAATGTGTGCTCCCCAATGGTGCATTGTTTTTCACTGCATCCTTCCACATAAAGCAGTTGGTGTCTACAAGCAAGCCACGGTCAAGGCACACTGATTTTTGACACTGTGACACTGATTCTGCAAAAGCTGGTGCAGAACTCACCATGCACATGGTGGGACAGAGCAGTGGCAAAAGGTGAAGATTGGCTTTCCTTTCAGGTGTGTCCCTGCGTCATGTTGCACCGTGCCTCCCTACCTGACCGTGAGTGCTTTTCATTGTCTCCCATGATGTCCAATGCCAGCCTGCACTTGTAAGGCAGCGTCTATGCCAGCATAAGGAACATGCATGCAGCAGTGGTGTTCTGTGTTGGAAGTAGCAGATATCTTCATCTCTGCAGTGGCGCTCACAGCTCTTGCTGATGCCTTCATACTGAAGGCCAGGGTCACTTTTGGCACTGTCGTACAACTGTTTTGCGGACCTCGGGGAAAATCAATTTCTTCCGAATTCAAGCTTCGTTACCGCAGAGGGAGCAACTTTGCATCTGTGCTTAAGTATCATATCATTCAGAGCTGGAAAATTAAGGACCGAAACTTGAAGCCCAAGATGGGAACCAGTTGGAGGGGGGCGCCGCGAGTTCAAAGCCCCAAAATTAGTCATGGGCACAAAAGAACGTGTTTTTCGCATTCACGTCTCTTTCAGCCCAAAACGTCAACAAAACGCGGAAAACACGCTTTCGTGTGCATGCAAAAAACGGGTACGTACCCGCTTGAAGTGCCCAAACGCGTGCAGCGCACGTTCACGTTTCCGCTTCCGATACCGAACGTGGCCCCCACACATTTCTCTCTTTGCGAACAAAGCCCGATGCACAGGTCACGGAAAAGCAAACCCAGCGCACACATTCGCGCGTTCGCGCTTCAATGTCCTACATCCCCACCCCTGCTCCAAACCGACAATCTGGACCACCCGCCATTCCGTCCAGCGCACACAAGAGCAGTTCCACGCACCGACCCACGCAGCCCTGCCCCACCGCCACCCTCCCGCCCACCCAGCACCCCAGTCGCCGGTCGCCGACCGCCCCCCCCGGCGCCATGGCGGCGCGAGTGAGGGCGTGCCGATCGGGCATCCCCGTCCGTCCCGGCGACCCGCCGTGCGTGGAGGATTCCGTGGGCATCGGTCCACCCGTGGGCCTGGGCGGCGACGCCGAGGCCATCCAGTCCGCCATCGACGCCAGCTTTCTGGCCTTCTCGGCCTACCTGGTGTTCATCCTGCAGGCCGGGTTCGCGATGGTGCGCCACTGGCGCGCTCGAATCAGATTCGAAGATTGATCAAGAATCAATCTTTTTAAGCACAGCATGCTGCGATCGCCCGCCTTGCTCGTCGGAACTCCGCTGCTGTTCACCACCTGTGCCTCCTCCGGGTGCCTCTTCCCGCCTCCCTTAGCCTGCGCCCGGCATCTTTAAGCTGTCTGCAGTTTACGGTGGCCATCCATTAGGTATCTCGCCTTTGCGCTGGTGGGGAGCGACTGGAGGAATCATTCCATTGGCGTACAAGCGTCGCTCCGCCCGTGGCGGGCTCTAAAGACCGGATTCAAATTTGATCTGGGCGAGGAGGGGCGCGGGCCGAACCGGGCGGGAGGCGGTGACTGGGCCGCGGGCGCGAAAGTTCGTTGTCGGTCGTCGGCGGATCGTCGATTGGGATCGCGTGGCGTGAGATGGCCGCATCTTTGCTGTTGTGCGGAGATCGCAGGAGGTGCAGTTTGCCGCCTGTCCTCCCGGGACCCTTTTCGGAGTTGGGCCTGGGCCTCGTTTGCCGTGGGGGACACGAAAGCCGCCCCCCCGTGGGCCCGCGCTCGGGTTCGCGGGGCAGAGACGTCAACCTGTCCCTGGCCCACTAATCCGTGGCGCCAAAACGGTGATTAAGTACTACGCTCTTGCGTGTGTTCGGAAAACGGTGCTTACCGGTACTACGCCAGGAGCGTTCTTGTGCGTACCCATGTACGGTACTCGTGAAGCGTGGCACTGCGCATGCGGGCGCTCGTGATGTGCTGTGGCGGTTTGTTCTGGTAAGCGTGCATTTTACAGTATTGCGTTGTTTGCAGGCGTGTCTGCAGGGTGGACAGTGCACGGCGCAGGAATGCTGCGCCTATTTTAGTCACGTGTTCAGTTTCTGGCTTTTGCCGTAGTGCAATCAACGCTTCCGCAAAGCAACGTAGCGATTGGCCTTTTTTCGGGGAGAAAACAATAAAATAAACTATGGCCTTTCAATAAAATATGTGGACCAACGTAATATAACAAAATAACGCCCTGGAAAAAAGTTGCGCAGCAAAAACCGCAACGCCAAATTGTTTGATGCGCAAAGGTTGAATATACTACGGTAGACGTTTTGTTTTCGGGTCCGTTCAGGGCGGTTCGTATTTTCTTCAAAGGCGACAGGATGTGCCTGACATGGTATGTTGATGTTTCCATGTGCCTGCAGTTTGTTGTGGGGTCAAGCCGGGGGCACAGCGCGTCGAGCATCATGCTGAAGAGCATCATTGTCTTGTGCGCAAGTACTATAGCTTTCTACGTTCTCGGGTGAGCGGCTCAGCGCAAAATTAGCATCGCAGTTTCGAATAATCATTACGCTGTGCCACTTTGTCAAAATGCTGTGTCGTCAAATCATGCTACAAAGCCATTTCTGCCGAAATTTTACCTTATTTTGTCCTGTTGAAAATGCAATCAGCTGAGGAGCAAAACATTAGGAGCATTAGCAGCGAATGTCATTGGCATTGACAAATTTGTGAAGCAGTAACGCGGCAACGTACCAGGTGTCAGGAATCGGACCAGCCGCGCATTTTCCGCCAAGATTTCGTGCTATTTTTTGTGGCATGTGATTCGGGAGGTGAACATCACTGAATGCATCTCATTTTGCAGCATCCCTGATCTCGTTGCAACGATGGTGAATTGACCATAATCATGTCTTGTCAGTGCACTAGTGTCAGCGCCAATCCATTTTACACAATCCGCGTATTGTATCCTGCCAACTAGGGGGACCACCCTTTCGCAATCTTGAGCACTGCATCATTGATTGTAAATGCACATGGGTAATGTTTGAATCCTGGAATCGAAACATTTATTCAACGCTTCGCACCGCAACTGTCCGATTTAGAACAAAGTTTCCTGCAGTGCATGCGAGTCTTAAAATTCTCGCAAGGTTCGGTGGAGCTGCACAATCTAAATATCTTATGACAGCAGCGGCGGAAGGCCACCGATATTGATGTATGTGGCCAGTGCCTTTTGCGGCACTATTCTCCCTGCTGTGAACATGGGTTATTAAGCAGCGCGGTGTCTGAACATGTACCGCAATTCCGTTGCCCAAATGTTATCCACACAACCTCGCATCATATATTGGCGTGTCCAATCATAGTATCAAAATTGCGTTAGAGAGTCCCTTGTCTCAAAAGGATCAAATGATACAATTGAGTGTTCAGAAGCAGGCGTGGGCGGTGACAATTGTCTGCAATAGCGGTGTACTTTGCCCTGCTTCTTTGGGCAATGGACCATGGAGACTTCCGCCCTACAAAAACTTAGCTCTACAAGGTCGTCGTTCAAACAGCATTGAGCACATCTCCAACGCTGCAATTCCCAAAAGTCCATAGCACTTTGATTTTGGTAGGATTACGCATTCCGAACGGAGTGATCCATTGTGTATATGCTCGTATCCTGGCTCACCAACGAATGTTTAGGACGTGCAAGCAATCCAATTGATTGATCAAATGCAGGTCCCCGGGCGAAGTTTTCTCACTGCAGTGCTGGTTTACACAAAGCCCATCGATCTTCGAAAAATCAACAGTATCTTGCAAAATAGATTCTAAATTTTAAGTTAAGTTATTAAAGCTACATAAGCTGTGTGGGAAAATCAGCATTTGTCGAAATCTCCGCGGCCTGCAGGTTCGGATTCGCCTTCGGCGAGAAGGAAGGCAGCCCCACGAACGCCTTCATCGGAGCCTGGGACTTCGCCCTGAACGCGACGCACGATGACGGCGGATGGGGTCGCTTCCTCATCCACTGGGCCTTCGCGCTCGTGGCGGCTGCCGTGGCGGCGGGCTCCCTGGCGGAGCGCGCCACCATCCTGACGTACATGCTGTATGCGCTGCACATGGCAGCCTTCGTGTACCCCGTGGTGGCCCACTGGGTGTGGGACGAGCGCGGGTGGCTGTCTCCGTTCAGGTGCGGGCCTGCGCGGAGTGGCTGTTAGTTTTGGAATTGTGTGATTGGAATTAGGACAGGCAGGGCGATAATCCGGCTGTGCGTGTAGGAACGCACCGGCAGCCAGAGTGCACCGTCGAGTGTGCTCTAAATGAAGTATGATGTAGCCCATACTTGCTACAATGGGAGCGTGTAGGCACCTTGTAACGCACGTAACCGCAAATTTCCTTCGAGTAAGGGATGAAGCTTGAGTTTCACACATATCTGGAATGAATGATTATTGGATGTGTGCCCGGCGCATGCTTTAAGATTGCTTCTGTGACGGGTCGAGTTGCAACTAAAGATGTTTCAGGTGCTCCGCGAATGCGCTTGCAGCAGATTTGCTCCCAAATGTTAGTTCACTGATACACCCCACACGAACTGAAAACCCCTCTCCAGAGAGTGGATCTGCCGGCCCCCAAATGCAGCGGATCTCGCAGTTGTCTGCACCTTACCTTGTCTCCCATGCGCCACCGGCACTTCACTCGCGCCACGCCAGCCATGAAATTTTCGCCAATTTCCCAATTTCCAGCGCCGATTGACACAGTGCGAAATGCATCATTCAAGCAGGCGCTTCAGGCCCAAACCCCTTGCCATCACGCGGGCCACCTTTGCAGCATCACCCAAGGCCCATTCGCCCCGTGCCTCACATTACTCCGTACTACCACCACTCTGTTACGACTGTGCATAAATTTTGCGCGACGCGTTCTCACCGCCACTCACCCCAATGTACTTCATAACAGCATGCACCACACAGACAACGTGCGCACGTTGCACACATCGCATTTCCTACTCGCAGGCCCGACCCTTTTCTGGACGTCGGCATGTTGGACTACGCGGGCGGCGGCGTCATCCACATGGTGGGGGGCTTCGCTGGCCTCGTGGGCGCCATCGCCCTTGGCCCGCGCCTGGGTCGCTTCGCCGTTTCCGGCAAGCCCAACATCGTGGAGCGCCGCTCGCTGCCCCTCGCCGTTCAGGGAGCCCTGTTCCTGTGGTTCGGTTGGTACGGATTCGCGGCGGGCACCGCCACGTCAGGTGGGGGGCCGCGCGCGAATCGCAACGGCAAAAGAGGCGCGAGCGCGTAATTGTTATACAAGTGGAGAACGACATTCTGCTATGCCGACTGCGGTGCAATTTGATACTAATTGATGCCATCGCACCTACTTTTACGGCATCGCGACGACGGCGATGGCGCCATTTTGTGTCAACATTTCATCGCAGTTTGCGTTGCAAACATGGTGCTTTCTGGTAGTTTTGCACTTTGTGTTGCTTTCTTTAGATTCCAAAGTATTACAACACGTTTCAGTGTCAAGGTGCCTCTCCGCATGGGCCTTGAACCCCTTGCGGTGTCGTTGCTTGACATGAATCGTCGCCAATTTGCTCTCCAAGCTGTGTGACGCAAAGTGCGGCAGCATTTCGGAATAGCACCTTCCAGCACGGGACATGATGAATGAAAGATATCGGCGACATTGCAACGACGAGCCGTGTCTGATCCAATGAAAGAACGAATGAGAGACTCAATTAGTCTGCCAATCAGTCCACCAATGAGCAACCATTGCGCATCAACGCAAGCATCCGACCAGCAGACCCTTACTCCGCCCAAGAAAACTGGCCCCAATCGCATCATCAAGAAATCCCCATGTTTCTTGCAGCCATGTCACTGTGATTGCATCCCGTTGTGCTAGGTGAGGACGTCAACATGACCGTGGCGTCGCGCGCCGCCGTGGTGACCACCATGTCAGCGGCATCCTCCGGGCTTACGGCCCTCCTTACCGCGAGGTCGTGGACGGGTCGCTGGGACGCGTTTGAGGCGGCTGCGGGCGTTGTGGCCGGGCTGGCGGCATCCGCGGCTGGTAGCGCTGTGGTGGAGGTACGGCAATGTCCCAAGTAATGCCAGAATGAGTGATGATTGCAGTACATACTGTGCTTCTTGTTGGAAACACTTGTCGAAATTGTATGTTGTGCTAAATTATTGCACTTGGCGGCGAATGGAGTACTTACAAGTACAAGCAACTGAGCTTGTGACTGGCGGAGTAAAGTGCACGCATTTGAATGTTTTCCGTTGGGTATGGCAGGCATACCCAACGATACCAAATTGCAGGCTTGCTACTTACGCCGTAAACACAGATTGCATTTACGGTTTTTACGTGTAAGACTAATTTTTACGTTTTTACGCTTAAAAATGCGTAAAATATGCGAACATGACGTAAGTACCGCAATGTACACATAAGGACAGTACATGCAGACTTGGGCAGTGGGATGTGTGGCAGGCTGCCGCTGCCAGACGCCCTTGAGTGCGTAGAAGACGAACTTCTGTTCCGTGCCGTCGTTGTCCTTGCCAAGGGCGAGGTACCTCGCCCACCAATGGGCGTTGCGTTGCCGGTGTTCGAGGGGGTGGAAGAACTCATCATTGTGCGCGATTTTCATCGTGTAAAGTGGGTGTTCATGAACACCCGTAGAAACGTAGGTACAGGCGTAAAAATAGCCCCTTTTGCAAATTTACGTTTGTTACGGGTAAAAAACGTAAACGTAGACGTGCGTAACAAGCCTGCCACCTTGATGCCATCTTGTTAGGCGCCACCAAGGCGCCGAGATCTCCTGTGCCTGATTTGGCGATGATGGGCGCAAAAAGGCACATGCGGCTGTGGTTGCCTTCTCCAAGTCATCGGCTTGGTTGCACAGAGAGCCATGACGATTGGTGAGTCTGACCTCAATTGATCTGGTGTATCGTTTCTTCATGCATCATAATTTACCATTTACGGAACGCTCTCCAACACAGCGCCAGAGGTTGTAGTCAACTAAAAAATACGATTTCTGTTTATAACTGCCTAGGAATGAAATGGCCCCGAATTGGGCAGTGGACGTCCTTTTGAGTCGATACGAAAACCTTGGACAAGGCACAAGTTCCGCGCGTGTCGCGAGATAGACGGCATAGTGTCAAATGACATTTGGTGATTGCTTAAGTCACCATGTCAAAATTCCCTTTGCAAATGGCAGCATTGCCGCCAAAGAGGAAGTAACGCATAAGGCCCATGGGTTGACGGCAACGCGGCCCCCGCCCTTTGCGGCTGCTGGGACGACAAATGTTGGCGGGCTACTTATGCTCGCATCTGGCTGGCAGTGCTGGGTCGGGCTCCATCTGAACGCAGATCTGCCTGAAATGGTGCCAGGTGTGGGCGGGTGTGGTGTGCGGGGCTGTGGCGGGGGCGGCGGCGGTGGGCGGCAGGATCGGCCTGCTGGCTGTGTGGGTAGATGACCCTGTCGGCTCCAGTGTGCTACACGGACTGTCCGGCGCTTGGGGGCTGCTGTTCGTGGGGCTGCTGGCGGATGAAGACTTCATAGGGGAGGTGGGGAAAACTTTCTGAGTCTCATTGCATCATTAGGACTCATCAGGTTGACCTCGCGGAGTTGTGGATGTTATGTGGGCTTCACGCCCGGGACGTGGCAGGAAGGTAGTTGTTTCTGTTCTTCGGATTGCGCACAGCTAAGCACCATGTGCGTTGCATCTTCATCCGGTGGTGGTGATGGACCCTCATGGGATCCTCATGGGATCCGCACAGAATGCGCAGATGTGAAAATTGGCCAGCAAAGTTGATGCAGCGTTTTCCGTGTTGCCGCTTACGCACTACTCTAGCTGTGGCTGCCGCGCGCATCGCAAGCGCAAGGGGCCCCACTTTTTTGCTTCACGTGGCGACAGAAATGTCAATACCCTCCCGTTGCACTTCGAGGCTGGAAGCCTAACACATGCGCCCAAAACGCTATCTACCATTCTACACTCAGCCTTCAGCATAGCCACGCTACTCTCGCCCAGTTCTATCAGAACGAGGGAGTAAAGCAGCCACCATAATTAGGAGAAGTGAGGATCTGGAAACTTGCATATAAAGGCGCCAAGAAGGATGCGCTTTGCGTCCACACCCACGTTGTCTTCAAGTCATGATATCGTCAATCGATTGCGCGCTTGCTCGGCTTTGCAGGGACTCTGAACCCGCGTACATACGGCCAGGACAAGCACTGAACAATGGCCGTGGCTGGGGCCCTGCGAGTTGCTCCCTTCAGCTCCGTCACTGCGTTCTGCCATTCAGTTCCAGCCCTGCACCGCGATCAATGCACAATCAGAAAACATCCTGTTTGCGCGATGCCAGCTGCGATGCCATTTTGACACAAAGTGGCGCCGTCACAGTGTTTATGATGGCATAAAAGTGGCTGTGATGGCATAAAAATGTCTGTGATGGCATCAATTATGTCAAAAGGCATCGCAATGCGCACCCAAACATGCCGTGTTTTGTATGCCACAGCAATCACTGTGAAGGCAACATTTTTTCTGAAAATGACATCGCACTTGGCATCGCAAGCATGTCTTATCTGCCAGCGATGGGAATATCGCTGCGATGGTCCCCAAGGCCACCCAGCCTGTTCACCTCGTGCCTGCGATACGATGCGAAGTGGTATGGAAATTAAGGGTGGTCGATCAGAATGCAAAGGGATGAGATCCCTGAAAAATCTATGACAGGTTTCAAAAATGCGGAAGAGTCAAAAGTGGCTAGGCACTCCATTTCATGCTGCGCGTTGCGTGCAGCTGCATCATGCAACATGCTGTTGCCCCTTGGTCAGCGATAAATGGGTCTCGCTTGCTGGAAACACTTGCCAAATTTATGCGTTATGCCAAATTGTTGTACCGAGCCGCGCATGAAGCTACAAATCTTCCCACTGTTTGGCACGGATGCATCACAAGTCGCAGGGGCCTACTAAATTTTATTTGCATTTCTGTTACCATAATATGGCTACTGGAAAGTTTTTAGTGTCATTAAATTCAGGTTTTAGCGGTGCTACTGTCGTCAGGTTTATGGTTCAGCGTTGCTTTGTTTGGTTGAAAATTGCTGCGACTTCTGGCAAGTTAGCAAGGATTCGAACTTATGAACATCCGTTCACTGCTTATGCGCTTACTGGCTCAGTAGCTGAAAGGCAGCCTGGCCCTCTGATTGGCCATTACAGGTGTATGGCTCCAACATGCGGGGAAGGGACCTGCAGGGCATCTTCTACGGCGGCAGCGGCAATCTTCTTGCAGCCCAGGCGATTGGAGCGATCGCCATTGCCGCTTGGGCGGCGGCTAACTTCGGTGTACTTTTCCTCATCCTCAGGTTCTGTCGCTGTCGAGCAGGTGTTCATTGTGCGATGCACGCATGGCCGTGGGAGCCGCATCAGCTACAGCGCCTCAGTCTGGACCAATTCGACTGCACGATCGTGTGTTCCCGAGCAGTTCCTTGTATTTATTTGATTCACATTGCTGTGGTTCAGGGAGAATTGGCATAAGAAAATTAATATGTTGTCTACTGGCTTCATGCCACTTTTCCGAAAAAAATGACATTCTCTGATAATCATCGCCAGAAGGAAAGCACAGATTGTCGAGAGAAGTTCCCCAATCAGTAGTACATGTCCATTTAGGAATATATCGCTGATTATATTTGATTCGCCAATGCGGGAGCTAAGTGTACGCATACATTGGAGTGCTCAAATGCAGGGAGACGTTGGGCGATTTCGTGCAGGTTTCATTTTTTTCCTCTAGAAATTCTTGTTTTCAATGACTTCCACATATGTATGGCTTCTCTTTATTGTAACAATTATCTGGGGTGATAAGGCCTGTACTTTATGGTTTCCACAATAGGAGAAAGCAAAGCGATCATAATGCAACACTGAAAATCCGTGAAGAATGTACACGTCATGCGAATACACATGTGCGTGTGAGCAGTCATGCGTAATCATGTCTAAATCGTGAACGCAAGCATAGCGTCATGTAAGCAGGACACGTTATTGAACTCAGCACCGCTCTTGTTGCTCTGATCCATCCTGACATTCGATTAATGCGTGTGGGCATCAACGCCCATACATCAGGCAATAATGTGTGCGAAAATGAAAACAAAGTCGTTGTGAAAATGGACCCCAAGCTGTTGGCCCGAGCGTGCCGTCATTGGCGCGCAGCGACCGCAATCTACATGCACTGAGTGCGCTCTGCGCATTGGGCAGGTGTGATTTCTCGATGCCAAAGACATGTTAATGGCTTATTTCAGAAATACGTATTGTTCCCTTGTCCTGGTGTCACGTACTGTCAGGGTTGCTTCTTCGCTCAATGTCGGTTTGCCCTGGTCAGAAGGGCTGGAGTTGCCATGCTGTTTCGAAGGGTGCCTCTGTGCGGGACCATTATTCGGAAATAATTGTACGGATAATTTACCCCATTATTACCATTGTTCCCAGTATCGAGCCTCTCTTCCCACCGCTCAACAGGCGCCTCTGAAACACAAGGCATGCACCAATTCAATGATGTTCGCGTCGAGCGATCAAAGATTTTCATGGACCTGCAGCTCAGCGTGGGATTCGAACCTGAGGAATATTCCTGAACGTTCCAGGGCGGCCGGCGTACTGCGGGTAGACAGCGAAGGGCCGGTGAACGGGAGCCGCGGACGCAGCTTCGCGGAGGAGCGCAAGAGCATGAACGACGCTGAGGACTCGTCGGCGCAGGCGTGCCTGACCATCTGATCCTAATAGGATCAGACAGGATCAGATAGTATCTACTCCGGCCTAGCGGATCACCATCCGATGCGAGGCATCTCCGGTCGACGGGAGCCGAGGCAGAATCTCAGGGCAAGCAGATCGTTACATCGCATGAACACTTGCAGAAGTCACAGAGATGCTTTAGCCATGCAAATTTTTCAGCCGCTGGGGGAGGCGCGCCTGGGGATCTGACGTCCGATGATGTAATCTAATACGATC